GAAGTCGCCGAGCCCGGTTGCAGTAGTCGGTCGCCGTCTCCTGCTCGCCCATCCGCAGGTGCGTCATCTGCTCCTCCAACTGGCCGATGTACAGGTCGTCGGTGACCTGGTACGTCGACTCGATGAAGCGCCATGCCTGGTGACCGGCGTCCAGGTAGTCCCAGCACGGCTTCAGGGCGATCTGCACGCCCGGCGAGCAGCACCGCGAAATGACCATGAAGGTCAGCAGCTGTACAACGCGAAACTCAGCACGCAGGTCGGGGTAAATCTCCGACGGTGTTGCCACGGTACCTGCGACGAAGCCCATCAGCCCGGCCATCTCCAGCTGGGGCTCGATGGCTTCCTTCCAGGTGAAGATGTCGGAGCAACCAACCAGCAGGGGAGTGACCAAGATCCTATCCGGCGTAAACTTGAAGTAGCCGTAGCTCGGCGCGATCCCTCCCGCCGTCACGTGAGTCGCCGACATCGGCGCCAATCCGCTTCGTCGGCCTCCGACGTCGCCCTGCGAGGCCCCTGCAGCCGCCGACGACTGCATTCCTCGCGCCTGAACGCCGCCGGCTTCACCGGCATGTATCACTCCTCTCGGCCTCAACGTGCCTTCCGCACTGCTGCCGACCTGGTCCCCAGCGTTGACGCCCACGTCGACGCCGCCCTCGGTGTTCACCGGTCGAGGAGAGGCAGGCCGAGAAGGGTGCTCCGTTGCCCACACGGCGCAAATGCCAGCCTCGACGACCGCCCAAGGGATTTCCCCGTACTCGCGCGCCTCATGGCGTCTCCTCGCATCCTCCAGCTATGCCTCAAGGGTATCCATCACCTCGGCGTCACCTGCGCCTAGAAGGGAGACTACACAGCTGCCGTTCTACGAACAATATTGGTAATGGGGATACGAAGTCGGCGAAGCTGGATGGTACGTCGCGGTGCCGTCCACGCTCACCGCACCATGCGGAGATAACTCTGTCAACGGGAGCTAGACTACGGGCTAGGCACGGGGTAGGAGTGACCTCAGCGTTCGTTCCTTAGTCGTTTGCTCGTGTTCACACTACTTGCCCATCACGGGGAAAATTGGCAAGAGTTCCACTAGCAAAAGTTCACAAGAATGAGTAGTCACAACATTGGCAACACAGACTACATCAGAGCTAGCTAGGCTGCTGGTCGACCTCCAGCGCAGCATGGTCGACCGCAATCCAACGCAGCAACCCCCGCACCGCTCCAGCGTTGCAGAGTAGCGGTTCGCCAACGTTGCAAGTCCATGGTGTGCCAACGCTGCAGCAAGTCGGCTGCATAGCGTTGCGCCCGCAGGACAACGGTGCACCTGCTTCGCAGGTGCATGCAGCTGGTTGGTGCTCCACACCTCGTCCCGAGCACAGCGCAGACACCTAGCAGACTCCACGCCAGCGGCTGTGCCCACCAGCCTCGTCGACCTCGGGATACCACCCGCGAGGTTGCCTTCACAGATACCAACCCGGCGACTTTCGCACACGTCGCCCGGGTATCCCGGACGACCGGGCAACCCCGCCTGGTCGTCCAGCCCGGTCGGTCGCCGGCTACACCAAGACTCGGCGTCCCAGGGTCGGCGTCCTGGCGTCCAGGTCGGCGTCCACTCGCCCAGGACGCCGTCCAGGCGCCCAGGTCGGCGTCCAGGCGCCCGGGACGCCGAGCAGACGCCCAGGTCGGCGTCCAGCCTCCCAGGACGCCGAGCAGACGCCCAGGTCGGCGTCCAGGCGCCCAAGACGCCCTGCAGTCTCCCACGACGCCGCCCAGACGCCAAGGACGGCGTCCACCTGCTCGGCGCCCTCCAACCGGGCGCCCCCCCCAGCTCAACGCCCTTGCAGTGGCCCCCGTACCCACTGCTGCAGGTCGGCTGCATCCCCCCGCACACCCGACCACGAGGTCGGCTCCGCCCAAGCGAGGACGGGGCCAAACACTACTCCCGTTGACAAGGTGCACCTGGGCTAGTAGCTACACAAGCACCTAAACTACAAGCACAAGCACCTACATTAGCAACATGCAAAGAACCTAAACTACGAACGCGCGAGCAAAGGGATCTAGCAGCACTATAGTCCATATCAGCATACATTACAGCAACAAGAGTCTAAAGCATCAACTGACAGTACTGCAGAAAAGTCCCATACGAGAGCAAGCAACCAGGGCCCAGTCCAAAGCGGGGCCAAGGCCAAATACTGCGTGGACGCGGTAAGTAAGTTGCGCAAAGCACTGACCTACCCGCACGACCGCTCGACTGAACCACGTACGGGCAGGGAGGCGGAGTGACACCACGCGATGCTGAGCTGGACGGACCACTGCCATGACCATCGCTCCCTAGTCCACAGGGCCCCCACCGCTGAGGCTGCTGCTACACCTCCCGCTGGACCTACTAATGTGAATGTCCCTGCTGGTGCGGCTGTCCTGGCTGTGGCTGCCACTGCTGGGACTCCTGCCGTCGCTGTGCTGTGTACCACGCAGCCGCACCAGCACCCCTTCCCATCGGGCCCGCAGGCGCAGTGCCGCTCCCAGTATCGCTTCCACCAGACGCACTAGTGTCACCAGGGCCTCCGCCACCCCTGCCACCACCACCAGCGCCACCAACCTTCCCCCCTCTCTTACCTCCCTTACCCATGGACCGCCAACCCACAATGGACACGCCGCAGTCTCCAGAGTAGAAGGAGACGCAGTAGAGGCAAGAGAAGCAGTGAAGGTGGGAAGTTGTGGGACAGTGCACCCCTGAAAGAGCAGGGGAACTACGGCACCAGAGGCGGAGGGGACGGAGAAGATATTGCTCTCGATCTCCTTGAGAGCGGTCTCAAGGACATCGATGGTAAGCTAACTAGGGTGCTTCTGAAGAAGCTCGTCACGGACAGGTGCAAGGCGGCCAGGGAGGCTAGCCATGAAGTGAAGAGTAATTGCCATGGGCGGGGGGAGAAGTGCAAGCTGAGCCTTAGTACAAGCAGCACGACGTCTAGCGAGCGCATGTGGGTGATAAGATCAGTAGCGCGGTCAAACACGCCTAGGTCGGGAAAGAGAAATGGCAGAAAGAGGCGACCAAGAGAGGTGGAGGTGGGAGTGGAATAACGTGTCTTAATGGTAGCGTGCATAACCTTGGCAAATAGAACCTGAGAGAAGTGAGCCTCCTCAGCCTCGGGGAGAAGGCAGGCGAAGGCAAAGCGGGCTGCAGCATCACGCGACTGCCACAGTGAACGAGCGGTATGGGCCTTATCGAAGCGCGCCTCGGCCGCCTCATCAGGCTCAGCACCCAGAGCAGCAGGTTGGAGGGGCTCAGGCAGGTCACCGGAGGCGTGCGCCCAGAGTGTATCATTTTCCTGGCGCTAGCTCTTGAGAAACCGCTCGGCACGGATGAGTCAGGAGGGAAACTCTAGGGCTCTGCCCTCAGCATCAAAGCGCAGTACGTGAGGGGGCGCCATAACGAGGGACCTACCGGCCTAGAAGCAAGGCTGGAGGTGGCCGGAGCTAGAATCGAGCGAGGGCGTACAAGGCCCGAAGAGACGAGGCGAGGAACGGCTTGATCTAGTAACGACCTAAGCCTGAGTTGCTAGGCTAGAAAGAGTCGAAACGGGGAATGAGCGAGGCCAGAGAGGCGAGGCTAGGAACATTACTTAGAACACGGACCTAAGTTATGATAATTGAGTGTATTGCGGCTGCCAGCTGTTGCGGGTGGAACGCCAGTGGTAGTAGACATTGGAAGGTGCTGCACGAGCGGCTAGGTGTGGTTGGGCGCAGTCTAGTGTGCGGTCAAGTACCGTTCAGTGCGGTGGAGTGTGGTCGGGAGCGATGGGATGCGAGTGGAGTGCGGTGGAGTGTGGTGGAGCGCAGTCAAACACGTACAGCTGTCCGCATGGCTCCTAGTGCGTGGGCAGCTGCGCGTGCGGCTGCTGTTGGAGCTGCATGAGCGGCTGCAGAGGCGCGCGCAACTGTAGTGGCATGTGCAGGCAGTTTCTGCGTGAGCAGCAGCTGGTGCGCGGACTGCTGCTGCTGCTGCGCGAGCTGCGGCTGTTGCGCGGGCAGCTGCTGCTGCGCGTGTTGACGCTACTGTACGCGCGTGGCGAGCATGCGTGTGGACGGCAACTGCAGCGCGCTGCTGCTATTCGTACTGCTGGCGCACGTGCAGCTGCATGCGTGTGCGTTGTTGCGTATGCGTGGCTGCGCGCGCGTGCGATCGTGAGTGCTAGTGGCGTGAGCGTAGGGATGAGCAAAAGCGAACCGAACGAACATTTTTTTTTTTTTTTTTTTTTTTTTTTGCTTAAAGTGTTCCTCAAACAGCGTTTGAGGTTCGCCCGAACACGTTCGTGTTCGGGCCGCTGCTGTAATTTGCCCTGCGATGAACATGAACGTGTTCGAGGTTCGCCCAAAAACGCCTTCACAGGCGAACACGCCTTCACGTGTTTTTGCTAAAGGTGTTCGCCGAACCGAACAAAGTTCGGTTCGGCAAACGGCTGTGTTCGTGTAGGGGTCGTGTTCGCCCCTTGCTCATCCCTACGCGAGCGGGCTGCGTGCGAGGGTAAGGGACGAGGTGGGGCGTGGATGGGTAAGGGGCGTGACGAGTACGCGGCAGGCTAGGGGCGGGGCCTGCAAACGGGCAGGGCACGCCCTGCTAAGGGGACGGGGTCACGGGGCGCAACGTGCTAAGGGGCAAGGCGATTCGGTGCTAGGTTAGGAACTCACCTACTCGTGATACCATCTTAAGAACCAAGTTACATAAGATCTTAAGAACCAGTTACATGAGTAGCGAGAGAATGGTGGGATTAGGTCAGGGAGGGGGGGGGGGGGAGGGAAATACAAACAAAGTATCGAGAGAGTTTGACATGCAACTCACTACAGCATATCTATTTCTACTAACATAGTTTGACAAAAATCAGTTGTCCTCCAAAGAACCCTGAGTGCTCAGGGTGTCCCAAAACCAATCCGAGGGCCTGCTGATGATACAATGGGATAGCTAACCTTCAACGGTTTTGCAATTGATTGCAGATTCTCTTGGCACCCTGGTTTTAAGCATTGAGCTTTGCTATAACATCTTCAACAATGACTGCCTTGCACTTCTCCAGCTGCAAGATAGAGAATCGGTGCAGACAGGTCAAAAGAGATGAGATTGAGTGCAGACAGGTCAAAAGAGATGAGATTGAGTGCAGACAGGTCAAAAGAGGGAGAATGAGTGTGGAGAGGTCAAGAGGGGGGGACTGAATGGAGGGGTCAAGAGGGTGGGAGAGTGAGTGTATAGAGGTCAAAAGGGTAAGAGAATGAGTGTAGCTGTGAAGAGTGTGGGAGAGTGAGTGTAGAGAGAAGGTGAGATAATAAGTGTAGAGAGGTCAAGAGGGAGAGAGAGGGAGCGAGAGAGTGGAGAGCTCACAGAGCGTTGGAAGGCAGCCAGCAGCTCCTCCTTGCTGCTGCTCTCCCTTCCCTTGCCTGCACCCTGCTTGCAGCTTTCCTTGGTGCTTTCCTTTGAGCTCTGCTCTGCCAGCACGCCCTTGGCTGCTGCCAGCACCTGCTTCTTCAGCGCCTTGAGCGGCAGCTCATGGCTGGGTGCCTGGTAGGGAGAGAAGAGACGTTCGAGAGTACACCAACTTGACAACAAAAAGCACAGCCGAAGCAATATGTTCCTGCAGATTATGTTTATGCCGCGTGACATGAGCGAGTTTTGAGGCGCCTCAAAACAAAATGCACAACAGCAACGAATTCCGGCAGATCACAGGAGAAGTAGCATGCGGTGTCATGGCCAGTTAACACGCGGTACACACACCCAAGTTGTGACTCTTAGAGATTTTGAAGAGCAGAAAGCATTACAGGAAACAGATATCCACCTCTGCACCTTTCCAACCGTTTGCAATGGGTAACAGCATATCGCACCACACTGCACTCACCGCCTTGAGCTGCTGTCGAATGAGCTTCTTCCACGGGATCACAGCACCTCCTTCAGGAGACTCTGCTGCATCAGCCTTGCCTTTCTCTTTCTTCTTCATCTTCTTTGTCTTGCTCTTTGCCTCTACTGTTTCCCGCTCTTCCTCCTTCCTAGCAGTATCCTCCTTGTCACCCCCTTCTGTCCGTTTTTTCCTCTTTGATCCCTTCTCTCCCTTCTTTCCTTTCTTTCTCTTTTCCCCCTCCTCCCCTCCCTGCATCTCTGCTCCTCCCTCTCCCTCCTCCTCTCCACCACTCTTCCCCTCCTCCTTTGCCTCATTCTCCTGTCCACCTGTCGCTGCCCCATTCGCTGCAATAGCAGGAGCCCCATTCGCCTTACCACTGGCAACACCATCCGCACCACTTTGCACCGCACTGTCAGCTACTGCACCGTTTCCAGCCTCTTCAGCGGGCCTAGAGGCATCATGCTGTCCCTTGGCCGCCTCCACAGCAGCCCTGGTCGCCCCTCTCACTTTCCCGCGGTGCTTCTTCCCCTCTGAGTGGCTCTCTAGTGTCTCCTTGCTTGTGGCACTCACCTTGCAAAGACTGCCCAGAAAAGGGGAGGGGGAAGGAGGGGAAGAGCGGGGACGGGGGGCGCAGGGGGAAAGAAGGGAAGAAGGGATAAACATTTCTCGTGATGCATCTTACCCTCCAAATAACTCTCTGGTGTCTCCTTGCTAGTAGCGCTTGCCTTGCACAGGCTGCACAGATAGTTGGGGAGAACAGAGGGGTACGCACGCGTGAGTTTCTGTTTCTCGCGGGGTACACAGAGGGTTTCCCGCGGTGCTTCTTCCCCTCCGAGTGGCTCTCCAGTGTCGCCCTGCTTGTTGCGCTCACCTTGCACAGGCTGCATGGAAAGAGGGGAGCAGGGGAAAAGCATAGGAATCGGGGAGCAGGACGGGGGAAGAGGGAAACAGGGGAGGGGAAGAGAAGGGTCACTTTCCCCTGGTGCTTCTTACCCTCTCAGCGGCTCTCCTACCTCCTCCTGCCCCCAGTAACCCAGTTTCCCCCTTCCCCCCCTCTTTTAAAGAGAGCACGAGCCGCCATGCATGGCATGTGCCGTAGAGGTAGCACCATACATGCACGCCCATGGGGCATTAAGGCCACCACACATACCTGCAATACCAGGGGGGACGAGTCAACAGCCCCATCCCTCCTGGTCCTCCCAGCCCAGTTCCCCCCTTCCCCTCCTCTAAAGAGAGCACTAGCCGCCATGCATTCCATGTGATATGCCCTGCAGGTAGCACCATACATGCACGCCCACGGGGTATTGAAAGCAGCACACGTACCTGCAATACCAGGGGGGTCTAGTCGACAGCCCCATGTGATAGTCAAACCCATCGCCCCCCTCCTGCTGCCCCTGCTGCTGCCTGTCCTGTCACCGTTACTGCCTCTCTTCCTGCTACTCCACTCCACCCATTTCCCACCCCCGTCCCAAACTACAAAGCACCATACACACCTGCAATACCAGGGGGGGCGAGTCGACAGCCCCATGTGGTAGTCAAACTCATCGCCCCCCTCCGCTGCTGCCCCCCCGCCCTTCCCCTTTCCCCCTGCTGGCGGCCTCCCCCCTGCACTGGGGGTCGCTGCATTGGCCCCCTTGGGCCCAAACTTCTCCTGTTGGCGGCAAAGGCAGAGGGGGGGAAGAGGGGGGGAAGAGGGGGGGAAGAGGGGGGGAAGAGGGAGGGAAGAGGGGGGGAATAGGGGGGGAAGAGGGGGGGAGTGGGGTACATTGAGCGGGGGGCTGGAGCAGGTCGGCTGCCCAGCGGCTTCCTCAGTCCTGCTGGCGGCCTCCCCCCCCTTCCCCCTTTTGGGGCTCGCTGCATTGGCCCCATTGGGCCCGAACTTCTCCTGGTGGGGGGGAGAGGGAGGGGGAAGGGGAGTGGGGTACACTAGGAGGTCTCAGCAGGGAGCTTGCCACAGCAGCTTCCCCCCTCCTGCTGGCAGCCTCCCCCCCCACGTTGGGGTTCGCTGCATTGGCCCCCTTAGGCCCAAATTTCTCCTGGTGGGAAGGGAGGTGGAAGGGAGGGGGGAGAGGACGAGAGAGATTGGGGTGGGAAGAGGGAGATAGTGATATTGAAGCACCGATGCTGCCATAGCAGCAGCCTCACCCCCCCTTTGGGTTTTGGGTTCTCTGCATTGGGCCGCTTGGGGCCGAACTTCTCCTGGTGGGGGGGAGAGGGGGGGAGGGGGGGGTGGAAGAGTGTGGGGATTAAGCCATGGGGTTTCACACCTTGGGGTTCCAGCAAGGAGCTTGCTGTCGCGGTCTTCACCAGCCTTGGGGTTCGCTGCATTGGGTTGGGACCCTTGGGGCCGAACCTCTCCTGGCGGGTGGGGCATATGAGCGGGCGAAAGGGTCAGGGGTAGGATTGTGGCAGTAAGTGTGGGTGCGGAGCCAATGAAGGGAACTTGCCATGACGGCCTTCCACCCCGCATTAGGCTTCGCTGCATTGTGGCCCTTGGGACCGAACCGCTCCTGGTGGGTTGGATACAAGCGCGGGAAAGGGCCGCCACATCAGGGGTAGTAGCAGTATGTGTGGATGTGGCGTTCAGGCAGGGAGCTTGCAAGTCTCGGCTTCTCACTCTGCGCTGGGTTCGCTGCATGGACACCTTTTAGGACCGAACTTCTTTTAATAACCGGGAAGGAGGGGGAGGGGGATTCTGAGGGATCAAATCAATGCAGGGGCCGTGCCATAGCGAACCCCCTTCCGGCCCCCTGTTGTCGGCGTTCCCCTGAGTTTGAGGTTTGTCTAGACCCTTGGGACCAGATTTCGCCTAGCGGAGGAAGAGGGGAAGGGGAATTGGTGGACTGGGGAGAGAGGGAGGCGGCGGGGGTAGGAGAGAGTGGATGCATCATGCAGCCCGCCATCTCTCCCCCCCCTCTGCTGGCGGCCAGCCCACGTGCAGCCTGCCATCTCTCCCCCCCCCCCCCTTCTGTTGGGGTTCGCTGCACTGCAGGATGGCCCCAACGCGTTGGGGCCTGTTGGAACAATTTTTTTTTCTGGTGGAGGGAGAGGGATAGGGTGGAGAGTGGGTGGGCTGGAGATTCGGAGGGGTACAGATGGGTGTGGTGTGGCAGGGCATTGGGGGGGGTGGGGTGGTGGGGAGGGTTACCGCGAGGCAGGGTATTTGTTGTGTTGTGGATCGATAGTTTGCTTGTGGCTCCGTGTGGGGTGTTTGAGGGCGGCAGAAAGAAGAGGAGGGAGGAGAGAGGAGAGAATGAGGCAATGAAAGAGGTGGAAATGCAGTGAGAGCTCTGTGACTGTTTGGAAATGTGAGAGCCGTGAAAAGGAGTGGGAAGGTGTGGGATGGAGTGGAGACGAGGGATGGTGGGAAGACGCTGAGCATATACATGTACAGTGTATCTTCCGATCATGGCTTTAATAGACGGGTTGTACGATCAAATTTGTCATTCTCGGTTACTTTTGTTGCGGGAGACTAAAATGGCGTAATTACTGTACCATTTCGGTCATGCACGTCGTGTGTGACTGTACCGAGCGCTGATCAAACGTCACGCCGCAATCAATGCACGCCAGCTGATGACCCCCAGGAGCGGGGGAGAGGGAGGGGAAGAGGGGAGGGTGGATGGGAGAAAGGGAGGGTAAGGGGAGGAAGGGGGTAACTATGGGCGCTGAGCAGATCGAACGTCACGCCGCAATCAATGCCCGCCAGCTGATGACCCCGAGGAGCGGGGGAGAGGGAGGGGGGGGGGAGGGGGGGGAAGGGAGAGGGGTTGGATGAGGGGCGGGGGGGGGGAAGTGAGGGAGGGGGAGGGAAGGCGTAGAGAAAGCGGGTGACTGCGGGCGCTGATGGAGCGTCACGCTGCAATCAGTGCATGCCAGCTAATGGCTCCCAAGGGGGTGGGAGGAGGGGAGGGGAGGGAGGGGAAGGACGGAGGGGGTGGTTGAGAGAGGGGGAAATTGAGGAGGAGGGGGAGACAGCGAAGAAGGAGGGGGATGAATGAGGGAATGGGCGATTGGGATAAAAACGGTCATGTGTGGTTCGACACGAGAGTCGGAGAACGAAACGCGAGTGTCAAGGGGGTTGTGCCGTTTTGAGATTGAGCCAAAGCACGCAATGTACGCGATACAAGGTCTTCATCTTGCAACGTGAGCAGCTTCCCAAAATATGACCGTCCGTGAGGATATATGTTCCTTATAAGCTACTTCGCTGACCTTGTAAGCGGAGCATCGCATGAAGTGCGCGTTCAGCTTGGGCTTCTTAAGAGTCTCCCCGCAGTCCTCGCACTGAAACCACACCATGCTGGGCTGAGATTACTGATGCGACAGACTAAGACTAAATGCGGTGCGCTGCCACTAATGCGACGGAATATCCTTGCGACAAGCTAAGACAATTGCTGCGGTAAATGGCGCGACGAATGCGGTGGCGATCGAAGCGACGACAGTGGGCGGGTGGCGTGGTGGAGACGTGAGTGGGCGGCAGTGTAAGGGGGCCTTCGGACAGCGCGTTTTTAGGAGTGACGGGCCGAGCAGCGGCGGCTTTTGGGCAAACGCTGCGTCAGAAGTGTGGGGGAGGAAATCGAAGGGAAGGCGGGGTTCGGGAATGGCGGGTAGCGGGTACAGGGTTCTGGGTTTGGCCCGCGAGCGAAATTCCACGCTTTTTGTCGACGCAACAATGATATATTTTCCCAAGCCATACGGAATGTTGTCATTAGGACGCGGTGAAAGTAGACGATCAATCGTCAGTCGCGATCGATGTGCGGCTCGGTTACCCTGTTTACTACGCTGTAACTATGCTACAGTACGCTTTTGGCCAAAATTTCTCTACAGTGTGTGAATGCGACTGATCACTGATCGCGGGAAATCTGTCAATTCTCAGCTGCGATCGTTACAACGTCGCGGTCGCCATGTTTCGCCAATCGATCTGCCCACTCGATCATGGGGATCGATATGTGCAGACGATCCTGCGATATTTGCACTTTAACGCGTCCTTACTCTTGGTCCAAGCTCGAAATGAAGTGAACACTACAGCAACCCTTTCCCAATAAACAGAAAAAAAAAACAAACAAACAAACAAAAACAAATGCACTGCATGTCCAACCAGCAATGCTTATTGCCCCATACTTCTGTCAAAGTATAAATGTGCTATATGTTTGTAGGCTGTAGTGGGGTAGCCAACATGGGGTACAACCCCAACTAGGGTTTCCTATTTGTACCCTTGCTTCTTTCAATCCAAGCATTCCTGCCTAGTAATTCTAACTGTCAAATGTTATAGCCCTTAGTGGGTCATACTATATGGGGTACAAACAATTAGGGTTAGGTACTTGTACCCCAACTCAATCAATGCAAGCCATTCCGCTGTTCTCAGTTACTAAGATGGTATCAGCAGTAGGTTCGTTGTTCCTAGGCCTTAGTCACCTCCGTTCCTAGTCCTATGCCGTCCCTAGCCAGCGCCCTCGCCCACGACCTAGCTACCGCCCTGGACAACGCCCTAGCCAGCGCTCTAGGCTCTCCCCCCCCCCCCCTCCCCAGCAGGCCCGCCAGCGCCTTAGCCAGCTGGCCCGCTAGCGCCTTAGCCAGCAGGCCCGCCAGCGCGCCACGCCAGCGCGCACGCCAGCGCGCACGCCAGCGCGCCACGCCAGCGCACCACGCCAGCGCACCGCCTGCGCGCCGCGTCGCCCGCCGGCCAGCGCGCCGCGCCGCCCACCGGCCAGCGCGCCGTGCTGCCCCCCTGTGCGCCTCTTACACTGCCTCCTCGCCTCCTTGTCTGCGTGCTTGCCCACGTGCCACTGACTGTCTCACCCTCCTGCGGCTGGTAGCCGCGCTCTCTCGTTTTTCGCCCCTTATGGCGACCACTCGAGTACTTCGATTTGACCCTGAGGGGAGACCGATTGATTTTAGTACGTGGCTTACGCAGGCG